ACACACACACACACACACACACACACACACACACACACACACACACACACACACTCTGTATGTGTGAGGGGGGTGAAGACTGTTATCACCCACTTGACTATCTTGATACCACTAATCCAATTAATATCTTTTAGTTTCTTCATCTTTTGATTAATTTAGAAGCAGAGTTACTTTCTCCATACGTAGATGTGATCTATTTCAATGGTCAAATCTTAGACTTTTACCAGTTAGGAAAAAAGTAAAAGTTTTGACATTCCAAGAGAGTCTATCAATATGCATCTGAAAGTATACTAGAAGAATATTGGAAAGTTGAATTTTTTTGTTGTATCCAGATAAATTCCTTCAGATGCACTATGTCACAGCAAAGTTTAATTAATAAATCCCACCTCAGAGTGAGAGAAGCCAAAAGAGTTAGGACAATTGTGGTTAATAGCATCATTTGTCTTCCCCCTCTGTGTTGGGAATTTGTACACTGTCAATGATTTGTCATCCATGAGATAACTTTAGATTCACTAAAATATAGAGACCCTATTAGGAAGATAATTGTTTAGTATCAACACATCACTTTTATTTATATGTAACTATTGAGAACACTCTTTGGTAAGCATGATGGGACAGTGTTTGATAGGCAGAGCAGAATGATATATTGTATACACATATACATATATATATATTTATCATTATTCATATTGTTATATGATATATTATATCTATATAATCATATATTATGCCCAGGCAATAAACTTATATAAATGGTTTTTTGAAAGGGGAGAATTGAAAAGACCATCATCACTGATACTAGTAAAACATATCTAATACAGAAGAGAAGCATATTGCTTCAACAAAGTTAAAATTCATAAATAATGCATATACCAACTTCAAAGCAAAATATTACCCTCAATCCTATTAACAGAAGAATACAAAAATGCCTGTCCTCAATATTATATTTCTATAGTTCTGAGCTTTTTGGCAATGACTTAATTTATAAAAAGGATAGAGAATGATTACCAGAAACTCACTGATGTCTTCTCTACTCCCCCAAATACCATGGGATTGACATAAGGGGCATTTTGAAGAGTCTGTAATAGCTTCTACACTGGAAATTCCAGGAACTTTAGTCCTTGGGGGTCCAATTTGTTTGTCTTATTAATATTCACTCATTCTGTCTTGCCTACTTGATCATCCTTGATGGTGAACTCATAGCTTATACTTAATCCACCATTGTTCTATGGTCTAAGATGGAATGCTACCTTGATTTGTAATCCAGAATCTTAGAATTTCATCCATACATCAGTATCAAAAATCTCTGAGAGGCACAAATAGTTTGATTAGACTGAAAGAACAATTGAGACTTTTGGCTATATTGGAAGATACATACTCTCAAGCAATTGGTGCTCTAGAATCAATGCATACTAGGGAATCTCTTTAAAATCTTTTCAAAAATGGATAGTAATTTCCTAGAATACCCTCCCCTTCAAGCAAAGAAGTAGCCCTTGATATTTAGCTTGAGCAGTGGACACTGTTTTGGTCAACATGGAGAGGAGTAGGAGTTCCCAGATGGTCAATTCTATCATCAGTAGAGGAAAAGGGGATGATTATTCTTGGGCCAACAGCAATGCTAGGTTGTTAAGCCTGGAACTCCTTCACTGAGACACATCATTGAGTTGGTCTCACTGAAGTCGGTTTGGATGGCAGCATTCCCATTTTAGACCATGGAACAATGGGGGATTAACGATGAGCAGTGAGTTCACCATCAAAGATGATCAGGTTTCTGATATGTGGATGCTAACCCCTAAGAAGGGAGGGTAGTAGGAAGGGGAAGTGTACAAGTTCATTGGATTAGACAAAGGGGAATGAAGGGAAGAGATGGGGGGTTGAGAATGGAAAAGACAATAGAATGAATTGGATGTAATGTTCTTATATGAATATACAACCAGCGTAACTCTACATCATGTTCACCCCAAGAATGGGATCAAAATTGTAATAGGTTGTACCCCATGTATGTGCAATATGTCAAAATACACCCTACTGTCATGTATATCTAAAACAACAACAATAACAACAACAAAGATGATCAGGTAGGCAAGGCAGCAGGAGTAAACATTAAAGAGATAAGCAATAATTTGGACCCTCAAGGATGAGAGATACTGGAATTTCCAGTATGGAGAAACAATCAATAGCAATGTACAATGTTTAAAGACATAAGAGCTATGCTACAGAGTTTTAAAAACTGTAAGAAAACAATATAGATGATCAAATAAATTGGCAGGCTTAAAGAAAATGTTGAAAAACTAAGTGGAAGATGTTATTAACAAATTACTTGGAGGTGAAAAAGCATCAGAGAATGAAGAGAAGCATTCAACTTATGCCAGAAGGCAGTCCTGAGATACAAGGACTGGCATTATCTAATTCAAATCCCAGGAGAAAAGAAGAATAAAATGATGGACATTTGAGAAGATACTCTAAAACAAGTCATGCAAAAATAAATGAATCCATTCAAAGAAAAGTACTTTAAGATGTGATCTAAAATGCAAATTAGTTAAGCTCTAAACCTTATAAAGAAAGGCCATATCATGACTGAACAGTGGGGCTGGAGCTCAATGGCAGAGTGCTTGCCTGTCATGCATGAGGACCTGGATTCAATCTCAATTCCAAACAAAACAAAAGCAATAAAACAGACAATTTATAATGGAATTACAATTAATCTGACTGTGACAACAATAATGAAACCAAAAATAAGTGGACTTATACCAACCAATGTTGAGAGGAAATGACTGTTCATACTGAATTGTGTACGAGAAATTCCACCCTCAGGAAAATTGATAAAACTAAGAAATTGATGGGTAAAGACTCAAATGGTTTCCCACCAAGACATCTACAGCAAGAAAATCCTGAAAGGGGTGTGTGTGTGTGTGTGTGTGTGTGTGTGTGTGTGTGTGTGTAGGAAGAAAGGATTGACTAGAGAAGGGGACCTAAGAGTCGGGGTGGGATTCTGAGGGAACACCATCGTACTTGTGGTAGTGACACTTCTTCTAACACAGGGACCTGAAATGAATGGCATGGATGCTTCTCCTTCTGAGCAGGACACAGAAGGTGACAAAAGGAATTGCTCTTGCCCTGTCAAAGAGAGTAGGTTGGAAAGTCTATACATCCTAGGTTTCTAAGACCCCGCACAAAGCTGAGGGTTCAATGGGAGTGGACTCACTAGGGTTCTGAGTGAGGAGGCCCGACTGACAGGGCACTCACAGCTGCTTTCCTGTGTGAGTGAGTGTCAGGAGCAAGAGGAAGGAGCCATTGATAAGAGAGGAAAACAGAGATGCTGAGCCTCAAGCAGTGGTTTGAAGGCAGGGTGTGGACTTGGAGAGTAGCATTTCCAGGGTCTCAGTAACGGACTCACAAGCTCTTTTTATGATCTTCCAGCGAGTGCTCCTAAGCAAGTCTGAGTGAAGTAGTCATGTGAAGGCCCACATGTGAGCACTGGATGCTGCAGTTGGAGGTCAGAGCAGGAGAACCTCAAGGTCTTACTCTGAGTAGCAGGCAGCAACCACTGCCACTTGGGTCAGAGGAGGGGAAACGAGGAGACCCCCACTCCCTGTACTTACAGGGGCAGGATAGAGCTGCACCATGAGGTCTAAGGCGGGGCAGGACAGCTGAGGTGTCCGTGCACCTGGCTTACGGTGAGTGTGGTGCAGGGGCTTCCTGAGGCTGGCTGAGGACAGGGCCTTGAGAGAGCCCGGGGGTGGAGCAGTGCAGGCTTCCTGAGGGGGCATGCAGGAGAGCCAGGAACGCCTCCACGGCTCGCCTGCCAGGCACTCGGTGGTGGGGAAACTGCTTGAAGAGGTTTGAGAGGGGAAGTCGTGAGGCCAGATTGGGGTGTTACGGTTGAAGGTAAGCATCCTAGAGAGAGAGCAGGTGTGCCCTTGGACAGCGCATTCCACATCTGGAGATCAGAGGAAAGGTCCTGGGGAGAACTCAAAGGCATGGGGGTGGCTGACGCCACTGAGAGTGAATGGGGCGAAGGAGGGAGGAGGACCAGGAGCTGAGCCCTGAGGCTCTGCCACAGGAAGGGTCATGGGAGATGGGGGGAAGCAGGGATGGACACTGAGGAGGTGCCTCCAGAGGGCGGGCTGGGGGTCAAGTGAAGCCTCACCTGGAGCCAAATGGAGACGGTGCATTAGGAAGAGGGCCGTGGCCTCGGTGTGAAAATCGAGTGAGAAGCCTAGTAGGTTGCAGAGGGAGGTGACCATTGGCTCCAAGAACTTGGAGGTTAGTGGGGACTTCAAGAAAAGCCCTTTCTTTGGGGGACAGGACCACACTTTAGATGAATGAGTAAAGACAGAGCAGTTTTCTTCACAGAGTGGAAGGGGTGGGAATAATTCCTGCATGGGATGCATTTAAGAGGGGATGAGAGGAGAGGAATTAGAGATCACAGATACAGGCAAAGTGGAGCCCAGAGATGGGTGATAACTGCCCTGCAAGGAAGTTTTTAAAAGCCACCTGGCTGTAATATGATTGCCTTACCTGTCTCTTTTGTAGGCTCATTATGCTGTATTTTCTAAAATTCCAAGATATGTGCTTCCACATTACATTTTAAACATTTACCGTTGTTTCTTGTCCATAGTCTTGCCTTATCCATTACTGTGTGGTAAACTCTCATCTTTGCATTTTGGCATCTGCCTTATTTGTTGGAAGTTCCTTTAACTGTCTCTGGTCCTCATGTTCACATTGCAATCACTTAATATCAATAATTTAAATATCATTTAATAATCACTTAATAATATCAAAATCAAGATTTTGGTAAAGTCTGTATGATATTTTAATTTTCATACTTTGTAAGATTTACAGGGAGAGCTCCCTCTAACTCCATATCCTCACCCCAAAAAACAACCAAAACATTCTTTGACTTTTCACTTTGAGCATAATTGTCCTTTTTCGTGTTTGGCTCTTTCTGTAACACTTTCAGGTCCTGGTGACCCTTACTTAGGACTAGATTCTTTTGATCAGTTTCATCTGTCTCTTCTGAGCTAATAAATGGATATAATAATAAATGCTGGCTCAAATAGTCCTGTCAGATGCAACCACTCATAAATAAATGTCCATGCTTCACAATCGAATCCCAAGACGTGCAGGAAGGCTGAAGCAGAACTCACTCTGCTTGGTGGCTTGGTGAGTGGCAGTGGCAGGCCTCTTTCCCGATGCCCTACCACCATCCTGCTCAACCTGTTGCTGTTAGATTTCTGAAGATCTGATCTGACCTGCCACAAAGCTTTCTCAGTCAACCACTTACCTTGAGGTAACAGAGTCAAAAAGAAGAGGAAAATGTAGAAAAAGATACGCAGTCTCATGGCTGCAGGGCCAGGGAACAGAAGAGGCAGCAACGGGGGTGGAGCCTGGAATCTGGGACGGGGTGTGGAGTCTCCAGGGCTTTTTATGAGGCTCCTGGGCCTGTGGTTTGTTCTTGGTCAGCAGAGCCTAACAAAAGGGAATAACCTAGTCCCACACATGAATTTCCAGAGACAAAGAAGTGCATGGATGTGGCAATGAATCAATAGATGTAAAAGCGGAAGACCCACCCCAGCCACTGCACAACACTGAAGGGGAAACAAACCAGAGACAGACAGGGCCTAAGTTCAGAGCTCCCTGTCAATGCACAGCAGTCGGGATATGTGGTGTTGGTTAAGAGGAGCCAATGGATCAAGGGAAGAGAACAGGAAGCACAGAGGCAGAGTAGGGAAGTGGAGCCAGTTGACCTTTAACCCCGGAGCAGTGGCAGTTCAAAGGAGAAAAGCTCATCCTTTCAAACAGTGGTGTGTGACCCAGCACTTCCCCCCATAGGCAAATACATCACAACCACAACTTCCACAAAAGTTAGTTCAATATGGTTCACTAACCTAAATGTAATACAAAACCATAAGTCTCCTACGAGTTCACAGAGGGAAATTCTGGGTGACCTTGTGTTTGGCAATGATATTTTAGGTAAATCCCAAAAGCATGATCCATGAGAGAAATACTTGATAACTTGGGCTTAATTAAAATTAGTAACTTTGCCTATGTCGTGGGCAGTGTTAAGAGAAAGAAAGAGAAGTGACAGACTGGGAGAAATTATTCTCAGGGCATATACTTGATAAGGTCCTTGTATTCAAAATACACAAACATTTAAAAAGCTCTATGAAAACTGTCAGCCTAATAAAAATGGGCCCAAAGCCTGAACAGACACCTTGCAAAGAGATAGAAATCACCATGTAGGAGACCACTCTACAGCACAATTCACTGGGAACGGCACCTTCAGATGATATTCCATTGCTCACCATCAGAATGTTGAAGGTGTGAATGCCAACAGCACTGAAGGCTGGACAGGATGTGGAAGGACGGCAGCATTCCTTCAGTACTGGTGGAACTCAGTGCAAGCTGGCCACTGTGTGGGAATGTGGGACAAAATGTGCCCTTCCGTACGGCTCACCAATCATGCTCCTGGAGTTGACCCACAGCAGTTGATTCATGTCCACACAAAATCTGCATATGAATGATAACAACTTATAGTTGTTATAAGTTGGATGCAAATGAGTTGCCCTTCAGCAGATGAGTGTCTAATGAAACTGTTGGACATTCATGCAATTTGATATCGTTCGTTGATAAAAAGAAATCATCTACCATGTTACCGAAAGGTATCAGGATTCTTGAAAGAATATTGCTAAGTGCAAAAAGTTTTCCAGAAAGATAATATTCAGTGATTCTAACCACATTACATTCCAGAAAGGGCAAATGGTGCATCTTATTAAAAAAAAAATCTGTGTTTGCCAAGGTTTATGGGATAAGGAACGATGAACAGGTGGAGCAGAGCAGATTTTTTGTGCATGAACCTATTTTCTCTGACATCCGTAGAATGTACAACACAACCTTCAGAATACAGGTTAAATGTTTAAATGTTTGTATATATAGTAAGGGACTGAGTTAATACTAATGTGTCATTATTGATTCATTGGTGATAACAAATAAAATAAATAAACTAATGCCAGCTGGGTCATAGGGATATCGTTGGGGCTGTGAGGGATGTATGAGAACTCTACTTCCACTCCATTTGCTATAGACCAGAAAGTGCTCACAACATTCCATTAATTAAAATAATCAATTAACTAAACATCAGGTATTGTAATGAATCAATTCTGTTCTGTTGATATAAAGAAAAAGGCACCCTGACACTGGAATTTACTCTTTATTCAACTGTGCTGTATGGTGCATTTTGAAATCAAAGAAGCAAAAGCTCATCTACTATTTTAAATTTTTTGGTTACTGCAGGTACTTTACAATTTTACATGAATTTCAGGATCTTTTTACCAATTTCTGCAAGAAAAGCCTGGTTGAATTTTATTACAGATTTCAAGGAGACTGAAGATTATTTTGAAGGAGAGTTGTCTGATTAAGAGTGGTATTTCTAATCGTTAAACATGAAAAGTTTCTGTCATTATTAAGATTTGCTTTAATTTCCCCAAGCAATCAATATTTTATAGACTTTAGTGAATACAATGTCCCTTCACTAACCTTATTCTTAATTATTTATTTTTTATTGTAAATGAATTTTTTAAATTCTATTTTTGGATTGTTAGCTATTCAGAGATAAATATATCTTATTTTATATGCTGATCATGTGCTTTGTACATTTTTATACATGTTTATTTGTTCTAGTATTTATGGACACCTTTGAATTTCTACATATAAGATCATGATGTTGTAGTAAAGACGGGTTTACTGCCTTTCACACTGAGTGCCATTCATTTGTTATTTTCCTGACTGATTTCACATGCTATAACGTCCAGCCAAATGTTGGAAAAATTATTAAGAATGAACATAAGATGAAGAAAAATGAGAATGGACATATCAGCCTAGTGCTTGATCTTAGAATAATTTCAGAATCTTATAGTTATATAAGATATTCATTGGATTTTTGAAGATATCGTTTATCAGTTTGAGACACTTCCCTTTATTCCAAGTTTGTTTTGAGATAGATGAATAGATATTGGTTTTGTGAAATCGTCACATTTTTCTTCATTTACTGGGATGGTCATGCATTTTATCCTTTATAGTAATGACTTATTAATATACTGCATATTTATTAATATGATCTATTGATCTGTTTCAGGATTTAACGTGACATAGCATTCTTGGGAGTAAACATACTTGGGCATGATACAAAATCTTTGTGTTTTTGGATTCAGCACGCCATCTGTATAAAGATACACTTTACCCAGAGGAAGGTCTTCTCTTTGCCCTCAGTCACTGGGGGTGAGCTCTGGCTTCTGGGAATGTCCTGCCCCACAGGAGTGTCTGTGTTTGCCTGGGGTCCTCAACTCTGGACAGGACAGTCTGACTGTGGTTTTTGTTCAGAACATGGCATTCACTTCTGACCTCCGGAAGAGTGGAGGCTCTGTGGTTAGATGAAACCTTCAGAGACTGATGGCAAATAAAAGGTCAGCCATGTGGGCAGTATGTGGTGGGGCCACAGCAACACGGTACACCAAAATGCACAAGCTTTCTGCTTATCAAAGGCGCAGGAGCCTCTTGCTTGACAAAGATGCCATCACTTCTGTTCTGCATTGTTGCGAGGTTTCTTGTTCGGAGCCCCCCAGGACTTCATCTATCCCCATGGATGGTATCAGTTGTATTATTTTGCAATAATAAAACTGGAACCGCCAGTATAGCATTTCCCTAGTTCTGTGAGTCATTTCAGGGATTATCAAAGTCAAAGCTGAGAGTGTCCACAAGCATTCCTGAATTTGGATCAGCAGGTGTGAAGTAGGAGTGGCTCTGGGCAGCACCTAGTGGTTGGCTGGTGTCTCAAGTGAGGGGTGGTCTTCTGGGGGCCTTTCCACAGATGTTGCAGCTTGGCAATCTACCACTGGTTAAGGGCTTAGACTTTCTTGGAATTTGGAGGACTGCATCCTTTATTTCAAGTTTACCTAAATGCTTAACCTGATACTTGCAGAAAATTTTTCATTGATCATTGTGAAGAATATGACTGTAGTTAAGTGTATAAAAGTCACTGGTCTGGTGGTCTTTTATTCCGAAGGACTTCCAAAAAATTACTAATTTTATCTCTTTCTTATTGTAGGGTCTACTCAAGGTTTATATTGATTTCTGGGTCCAATTTAATAATTTGTGTCTTTCTGGGTGTTTGTCTAGTCTTCCAAGTTATATAGTTTGTTGGCACAAAATTGTTTGTATTGTTCCCCTAGAATCCCCTAAATCATGCAAAGTTCTTAGTTTCACAAATGTTGGGGATAGGAGGGCAGGAGAAGAGAGAGGGAGAAAGAAAGAAAGAAAAAATCTCGAAGGAAGACACAAGGGTTGTTTTGTCAAAGATCAGTATCTTTCCTGCTTCCCTTCTCATCCAGCAGGTTGTCTGTTGCTTGCTGTATCTCCACTCTCAGGGTGGTTGGGGTTACCAGGGTGGGAGGGTTGGTCTTGGGTGCAGGGCTCCTGGAAATGGGGTATAACACCTGCTGGTCCCTGATGGGAATCTGCAGTCCAAGGATCTCCTTTGGGGCCTGCTCATGTGATGTGGGCACCTGTCTTATCTACTAATATCACCTGTCAACCTCAGAATTCCTGGTCTCTAGTGTAGTCTCTAAACTGTGTCTCACTCACCATCTCCCTTTCTAGTTCCTAATCAGGAACCTTTCTCTCTGGAGGTTGTTGTGGGCTGCACTCTGGGGGCTCAGTGCCTGTCACAGAGACCTGTCTTATTAGGCAGTTCAAGACCAAGTTTTTTGGGCTATGGACTGGCCATGTAGCTGCACACACTGTGCCAGGTTAGTGGCTGCTGGGGAGAGGGGAGAGTTGGAGACTTTAGGTAACTTGATATTGCTTCTAAGCCCCTGCTTGTGTCCCAAGCTTGGAGTTGACCCAACTAAAGGTGGCGATGAAGGTGACCCAAGATGGAGTTGGCTGCTTTCAGCAACGGGGTTTCAGGTTGGACGGGGCCAGGTGCTGGTGTTGAACAGCATGTTCAGAGGTGCAGCGCTCTGGATATTAGATATTCGTTGGATTTTTGAAGATATCATTTATCAGATTGAGATACTATTTCAAGTTTGTTTTGAGATAGATGAATAGATACTGGTTTTGTGAAATCATTACATTTTTCTTCATCTACTGGGATGGTCATGCATTTTATCCTTTATGGTAATGACTTATTAATATACTGCATATTTATTAATATGATCTATTGATCTGTTTCAGGATTTAACGTGACATAGCATTCTTGGGAGTAAATATACTTGGGCATGATACAAAATCTTTGTGTTTTTGGGTTCAGCACGCCATCTGTATAAAGATACACTTTACCCAGAGGAA